TTTTTTTTTACGATATCGGGAGACAAATTCAATAAAAAACAAAGAAGAAAAGGCTAAAAGGTGCACCACATCTATTGATGACAGAAGAATAAAAAGACTATGTCTTCAAGATAGAAAAAGTCATCAGCGGCCATCAGGAATGATCTAATGTCTGTGTTTCTGTCAGTTCAAAACAATCAGAGAAGATTAACGATGTTGGACTGAGGTAGAATCCACGAAAAAGCCTATCTTAATTTTCAGCAATGAAAAAAAGACTACAGTGGCAAAGGAACCATTAATTGGACAGATGACAGTGGTCACAAGTTTATATGGAGTTGCTGAACTAATATCGTTATTCAGTAGTGATGAGCGAAATATGTAAGACGTAGAATTAGGAGAAGAGCTACTCCTGACGCATTCAAGCAACTGTGAAACCCAGTTAGTGTTATGATTTGGTCTGCATGTCAGCAATGGCATTGGTCGCCTCATGTCATCGATGGGACACTGAATGCCAGAAAATACATTGACACTATTCTAAACCAAAACTTCTACCTTCCATCAGATCCTTTCCCAACAATTGCTTTATTATTTTTCACAGGATTGTGCTCCTTGCCACACTGCCAAAATATCGAAAGAGTGGTTTCGTACAAAGAGCATTAAATTGTTGTCAGTTGCAGGAAACATCCTGACCTCAATCCTATCGAAAATTTGTGGCAACCGTTTGAAAACTCTTGTCCAAATGAGGCGCCCATCAAGTAAAAGGGAACTAATTGAGGCTATAATTGTTTCCTGCATCATGTAATCACGAAGAAGAGCTAAAACTCTTGTCAGCTCAATGAAACGTCGATGTGAAGCTGTAATCAAAAATAAAGGGTACCGTACTAAGTACTGATAACTCACTGCATCATCACTATCTAATGTATAATCGATAACTATTATCATTTAACTTTTTTTTTGTATTGCATAATTGTTTTGTTTGTATTGAATTCAGTATAAATTCTCTTTAAAATGATATATACAAGTTTGCATTTTGTGAAACATAACGTTTTCTATAAACATACAAAGTTAAAAAACATACAAATTTCCAAAAGTGTCCACAATTTTGGCCACCACTGTATATAAATTTGTGTTTCATGAAACTGAGAAGCAGTCTTTCATCTTTAGAGCTGGTAGTGCCCTGTGTGCTTTAATATTTTCACTTTAAATATTGCTCCATTAGGAAGATATTCACTGTATTAAAAATATGCTATCCCATGTGTTATTATGATTAATGGATGCTTCATTGGAAGAGCAAGTTTAGCTTCCATTATAAGGTTTGATGTTTGTATGCTGTCTTTCTGTTTTCCTGTGGGTGTAGTATCATTCTTTCCTTGTATTCTATGCTAAGCATCCTCTTAGTGATGAGAGGTAATATTTCCAGCAAGTTCCATGCTGTTGAAAATATATAAAAATGAAAAGTGTAAACTGTATAGTCTAAAATATTATAATTTAGAATTTAAACTGAATTAAAATTATGAAATTTTATAGAATATGGAAAAGTATAATGAAATTTAATTAAACTGTTGAAGAATTTTTTGGGTAACTTTAATAAGGGAAAAGTGTTAGAATAGTCAGCAGATCAACAGTAATTAACAATTTATGGTTTATCAAGTTTGTCTTTTCTGATGCAAGATGGTTTTCTTTGATTCAGTAGTTTAAATATTTGTTTGATGTGTAGTAAAGTACCTTGACAAAGAGTGCTATGCATTCTGTAAGACTGCAGACTTGTCTTTCTGACAGAAGTATGATATTATGATGAATCCCACAGTATCCCGGTCTGCATGTCAACAAATGATTACCCTCTTTTTTTTCCCCCTTGCACAATATAATTTAATTTATCATGAAGTATCTGATTTTATTATGCAAATTCAACATTTATGTGCATTTATGAATAAATAGTTTATAGATGCTTTAGTGAGTTTTGAACTTAGTATGACGTAGTCTTTTATCCTTAATGCAGAAAACCATTCCTTCTTTTTAATGGAACATACATAATAAAAATAGTTTAGCTGATTAGAAAATGCAGCATGTGACAAGGAAAACATCTGTTTTCTGTTCATTTAGTGATACTATAGTTTCAGGTTCTACGAAATATGTGTGTGTTTGCATATATATGTGTGTGTGTAGTCTTCTGCAAAATATGTGTGTATGTATAATTTCCGGTCAATGATGATAATTACTAATGACAACATTTTGTTGGTTGCATTTTCACTTTTAATTATATCTTTGCAATGATTCCATTTTAATAATGTTAAAGATAACATTTTAAATATGCTAATGAGTAAATTCATTTCAATATAATTCCAACAACATTTTAAAAGGTGATAATATATTAAATAATGTACTAGAAAATAAATTATTATTTTATTACTTTACAGCTTTAGCGCAAGTATTAGGCAATTTATTACGATTAATTAACTTACTTTATATGTATATTATATGTATATTATATGTATGTATGTATGTATGTCCGAAATTTTAGGACTAAGTTCACGCAAAAGTTGAAGAAAACAACGTTCTTACTTCTTATCCTTTTAATATACAATCCTAGTAACACTATACAATGCTTCACTCATTCGAGTAGTTGATTCTTTCACAAAACTCATTTTTTGAAGAATTGTTTATATCTATGGTTACGGTTTTTGGAATCTGTTCAGTGCTATTGAAATAATGACCTTTGAGCAAAGACTTCAATTTAAGGAAAGTTGTCTGTGAGTTTCAAATCTGGTGAATAAGTGGGAGGGATTGATAATTATACTAATGAACGTTGGAGCACGAGTTCACTTTAATGAAAAGAAAGTAGTGTGAAATTTGTATAAAGGGATGGTTGAGAATTGTGACATTTTTCTCTGCTATACTTGTACTTGATGTGCATGAAATTATGTGATGTACCACTGTTATGCGGCAGAAACCAGTTTGATTGAGCTTTTCTAGGCCTAAAGTCTTATTACATCTTTATAAATATGGAGCTCACTGTTTGTGTCTTAGGGACAAATTCGTTGTGAGTTATCCCTTTCCAGCTACCATATAGATAAAATTATGGCATGCAAAAATTCTGTCTTCAGTTATGAAGTTAAAGCATGAGAAAGTAAAATGAGAGCAAATTTTTCTTTTTTTACAGTTTTCCATGGTAGGTTTAATGCTTAAGCACTGTACTGGTTTTAAGTTGTCAGCTGTCATTCAAAGAGATCTGTGATTGTTTTTCAGCAATGGCTGCCAATCTTTTTTGATGTTCTTATCTCTTTGAGACTGTGAAGAGTGACTACTCTTGTGCTCATCATTAGCATCATTGTGGCCGTCTTGAAGTCATCTGTATCATCAAAAGGCATTAGATCTTTGATTCCTCTATGTTTTACACAACATTTCAAAACTCTCCTTTGTTGTTTTTCATGCTTTATAGCAAAATTTTTATTGCTGATATTTGCTCAGCTTTCGAGTCCATGACAGTAGATATTTTTTGTATGAAACAAAAGATTAACTGCTTACGATTTAAGATTAACTGCATAGAAAATTATGTCTCCAAGCAGATGTTATGTTAGGGAAAGTAAGTTGATATATCATAGAAATGATTTCTGTCGATTATCATTTGATATATTTTCTGGAATTTTTTAAAAGAAATGAAGCCTAAAACTTTGTAGACATACTGTGTATCTACAGCAAAACTTGCTTAAAGAAGTTATCCACGCCACCAAATTTAAAAAAAAAAAAAAAAAAAAAAAAAAAAAAATTAATAGAAACATATTTTTCTCAAAATTAGTAGTTATTCCACAAATACTAAATTTATAACTTGGTATTCTTTTGAAAATAAATCCATACATTTTAATTTTTAATTTGAATTTCAGTAACCCATGTTTTCAATTTAATTGCAATTCATTTCAATTCAGTTTTAAAAGGTATAGAAAAGGTGGACTAGCGGTCTTACTTTTCCTCTCTAAGTAGTCCTGTTTTCCATGTTAAAAGAAAGGAAATGTGCTGCAACTGAATAGAATTTTTAAGCGTCTTAAACCAAGAATTCACATAGGGATTTTGCTGACCATTATGATGATATGTGGTCTTTCGAGAGGCACAAGACAGTAAGAGAAAAAAGACATCACTGTTCTAAACACAAAATTGATGACTTCCGTTTCTAGTCCAAACTGGGGAGATAAGCACATTTAGTAAAAAAAAAAAAAAAAAAAAAAAAAAAAAACACTTCAGTGTTCTTTTCTTATTATTTATTAAAGTTCCTAAAAAATTCTAGTTAAACTAATCCTTTATTTAATTCATCATCAGAATGCTTAAAGAAATTTATTTGAAAAGAATAGCATAGGGATTATGTTAAAAATTTCTGTTCTGTGTTCAAATATTTCTTCATCTGCTATTAGATTCGATTTTGAGTAACATCTTAAAATAATTCTTTATATTATTCCTGTTAAGTTTGAAGAACTTCAGCTGAATGTGGGATATAATAAAAAAAATTTTAGGTATAAACAGATATTATTTTGAGAGACTTATAAAACTAAAGCTTAATTTTATTTGTATAATTTTATAGCGATATTTTGTTGTAAATTCAGATAAAGAACTTTAAAACGTATTATTTGTTTAATACAGAATGTGTGTTATGTTACTAATTTCCTTAATTTTCTGGAGGGTATTCTTATTGAAAGTATGAAAGTAAATTTACTTAATTAATATCTTCTTTTTAACGTTACTTCTGCATTTACAATTTTAAAAAACTGAAATCCTTTTTTTATACATATAATTCATTTAAAATTTAAGAAATATCTTTCTACTGCAATTAGCAATGACTATAATGCGCATTAATGAAATTTTAAAACTATTTAACATGATGTTTGATTTACAGAAATTATAATTCAGGGGGGAGGAAGTTGAATGTGGATGAATAATTAAATATTTTCAGCGTAAAACTCATATTGACACTTAAGATTAATTGTTTAGATTATGTAAAATTTGTTACTTAATTTTTTTCTCGCCTTTTTTAGTTCTAATAAGAAGACATGAAACCTTCTTTGAACTGTGCTCTAGTTTTACCACAGCTGTCTCTAGAGGTCGTCCTGCTGTGCCACGTTCACAGCTTCTTGGTGATAATCCTTCATTTGTTTGCGAATTTTGCAATAAATCCTTCAGTCAGAAAAGCAATTTGAAAACACATGTAAAACTTCATACTGGGGAGCGACCATTTGTATGTCCTATATGTAAAAAATGCTTTGTTCAGAAAGGAAATCTAAAAATTCACATGAGATTTCACACTGGAGAACGCCCATATGTATGTAATGTATGTGGCAAGAAATTCAGTCAAAGTTCGAACTTACGTATGCATTTCATATCTCATAAGAAATAGTGTTATTCTGAAATTTATTGCTTAAACATACAAGAACATTCTTGTAACTTTGCATTTACTAAAATCTTGCTGCTTTTTAATGTTGAAAAAGCATTCAAATTTTTATTTTAAGCAATTTAGTAATAAAAGTATTTCCTTACTGTTTCTTTTCGTTAATTTATACCTTTCTCTACATTTTTTGTTGCTCCTCTGATTAATCAAGCCGTGTTTCGTTCATACTGTTATATTTATGCTATGTGTAATCATAGGTATGTATGCAACTTTTTTTCTTATTTGTAATGGCAAGCCAAAATACAACAAGAAGTTCAAAGATAGAACTTATAAGAAGTGACCGAAAATCATTGCCTAAGACAGTCTCTCGCGCGTAAGTATTGGGTGGTATCGAAGTTATAACCAAAAATTGCCCCACAGCCACGAAAGTAGGCTTTGTCCTTGGTTTCCATAAGATCGCAGAGTGAGCAAAATGATTGAGCAAATATATCAGTTCGGTAAAGATGATCGCCCAGGCAATGATGGTCTGTAAATACCCCAAAAAAAGGCCACAGCATGACGTCGAGGATATTCTGGCAAGCAAGCGAGATTCCATTGTTTCGTCTTAATATTTGTAGGATTTCCATTATTTTGCATAACAAATTAGTTTAAGTTTGGTACCTTTCTTGAATTCCTCAACTTCCCCTCACATTTCCTCGCCAGGATATAAACTTAAAGTTAAGTGAGGTGAGTATTTAAACGGTTGAATTTCTGAGTTTAGCGTGTTTTTGCTAGCCAGCGCATGTTTTGTTGCTGTCTCCCTGTTACTATAGTACACGCCACCGGGCTGTGGTTGGCTTTCCAACATGGGAGGCTTGGGCAGTCTTGGTGGTACGCGACTATCTCTCACAAAGCAGTGTCTGGTAGTGGACCCCCTGGTCGGGCAGGCGGTGCTCGTAACAATGTCGTCTTGTCGGATCAGGTTGGGGTGAGAGCCACATTCTAGTGATACCTCGTCTAGGAGGTAAGGACCGTGTATCCAAATTAATGTTGTTACCTGTTGTACACCCCTTGGCCATTTCGGATAATTTCCAGGCCTGCTATGTATTGTTGAGTCAACTTAAGTTAGCCATACTTTAGTGTGCTAATCCAGCGCTATTCTAATTAGACTTTGAATTGATTTATATTCAACATTTAAGTTTCACCGCAAGTTGACGGTGTTATCGTAAAGCACGAAGATCGCGCCTTTCTGTTTTTTAGGTGGAATTAATATAGGGTTATTTTCACCCTTCTTTTGTGCTGGTATTTCATTCATGCCTGTGCGAGAATTCGTCAGGTTCATGGTAGGATTCAGTTTAGCTTATGTGGAATAGAAGAGACAGATCTTACAAGTGGCGCCCGAATTTTTCCTAACTCAAAGGTGATAACGATGCTGCAGTTGAGCTAGTCCCATTGACATTGCAAATTCCACCGTTTCTTGGTAACATAATAGAAGGTTTTGGCTTCCTCGTTGAAACAATGCCGGCCTCCATTAAACCCGCAGTGACATTCGACGTAAGAACATCGGTCACCAGCTTCCTAGAAAATTTGGACAACCATTTTTTTTATTGTATCCCGTCGCTGAAGTTAAAAAAATAACTATAGCGACGACCGCCTTACGAGTACAGGCTTTAAGTTGGTTCAAAGGCATCGAGAAATTTCGTCTGGGGAAGATAGGCAGGCCCACATATACGTTTGAAAATTTTAAAAGTGCACTGCTAAAAGCCTTCCCCGTGGTTAAAGATAGAGGTAAACTTAAGGCCGAATTAAAGTAACCAAGGTAAGTAAATAAGGCAAGTATCAGTTTAAAGTTGAGGAACTGTCGGAATTTATTTTGCGCAAGGTCGAAATTGCTAATTTGTTATATGGGAAAAAGTCCGCTGTGGTGATAATTCAGATTATTTTGCCTCGACTACTGCCGCAAGTTCAGAATTATGTCGAAATAAGAAACACCAGCACATTAGAACAATTGTTTGAGCTGGCGGTGAAATTCGTGAATAGGAGAGTTGAAGAAAGTACGCGTACGAGAAGTTTTGGCCAGAGACCAAATGGACAGTTTTCTAAGGCGTATTTAGAACAATGAGATGCACTACCGGGAAGTATGACTGGTTGGACTTCTTGTACCGCCATTAGAGGCTGAAGAGGGCTTAGTGGAGCTATTTAATTAAAGAAACATTGAGATCTAAAGCAAGGCCTAAATCAGGCCCATTAAGCAGTAGAACTACCATCTCACTACCTGAAATAACTTAGAATAAACAACTAAAATATGTACTTAAAGTCTAGGAGCTGACGAGATTTACCAGCTACACCAACAAAAGCACGTTATTACATACTTTGTAAAATATAACACATGTTACTTGCATGCATAAAAATATGTTACTTAAGTATACAAGGAAATAAAATAGCAGAATATCATAAGCATTCTAGTTTTCCTTTAAACAGACAGGGAAATTTTAAACACAATCAGTATATAATTTCATTTACAGATACATATTTTATCCAATTTTACAATTTCAATTTAGTCACTGTATTTTTACTTAGATCCTTTAGAGTATTAAATTTATCAATATCTGGAATAAATCTTATAACAATATTTTTCATAGAAGAGCATCTGAACAACAGGTGTTCAATATCGACATTACTCATGCTACATGGACAGTGTGATGTATGGGTGACGCCAACCAACAAGATGTATAGAGGGCGCTACTCCTTCTGGAGAGGCGCCAAAAGTTTAGTTTCCAAGAGGGGACCGAAAGAGGTCATACGAAGGCTCGTGGGAGCCATTAATGAAACCGAAATTCACTTTTTTACTTTAATATTTCAGTTATTAGTAGTGTAGTTTAGTATTCGTTGTTTTGTAAATAAATGTTTAAAAATACAAAGGGAATGTGAGACATTGTTTCAAAAATATTAAGATCTATAAATCGACATCAATCACTTTTTAAATGTAACTTTTAATATGTACAATATTTACAGATCATAGATCAAACATGGTGGTTCAGTTGACAAATAAATCTATATCTTCATAATCGAAAATCGAAATCAAATAGGAACCGAAGTGTTTTCCTAATCAAATAGTGTGCGAACCATCAGACATCCTCTATCGAACTGCCGGTGGAGAGTCATGGAAATTCAGAAGGCACGTCGCGTCGCGTTAACACGCAACGCTAGCGCTCTATCAATTAATCAAATAATTTCCACATAAATTGCAGTATCTATCAAGAAGGTGGGGTTATTTATGAGGCGGAGGACGAAGAAAGGGATGATATTATACCCTCTCTCACTCGAACCAGAGCTTTAGATGACGGTAGAGAAACTTACCAGAAGAGAAGCAGATAGGAAGCTTTTGATTTTATTTTACTTAAAGTATAGATGTATTGAAGATATATATATACACATGTGAGTAGTAACCGAGGTAACCGTGCTACGCCCCGAGGCTATAGGGGCGTGGCTCCGCCATCTTGGATTACGTAACAACCGAAAGTGACGATACCAGCGCCACTTGGTTCCTTCCCGCGTTGGAATGCATCATCAAAGTTTCGTTTTATGGTGTGGCAACGATTTTCAAAGTTTTTATTTTTTGTGGCATCGATATATATTTTTGGTTTTGTTGCAACGAACTCTTGAACGTTTTGGAATACATCTCTTTTAAATTTATTATTTTTAATTATTTGACACGTGATAATTTAGTTTGATATTTGATTAATATTAATAATTTTGTATGTCATTAATTTTTTTATTTACTCTTTTTAATAGTATCTTAATTATTTAGTACGTCATTTTTAATTAATTACTTTTAATGAATTTTTGTGGGAATTAATATTATTTTCCCTGAATTTTAAAAGTAACTCCACCGCCGGGATTCGAACTCGCTATCTCTGAGATGGGAGTCTAGCGCTTTACCGCTCGGCTACCCAGTCCTCTTATCAGACTTGTTATTTGAAACTCTATTTGGCCCTTTGACTTTTTGCACCATTGATGACATAAGGCTGAAAGTCTGCGCATGCGCTTTGACATGAAAACCGCGCGTCACACATTTGATTTTACACGCGGCTAGGATTTCTTTTGGCTTCTTAATCATTACTTTATTCACTGCTGTTTTAAATGTAAGATTTTCCCACGGTTTAATTTTTTTTATTATTAAGACATTTTTAATTGTTTTCAATTTTCATCTCATAAATTTTATTTTTAACTTCAACAGAAGTGAATTTTAATTTTCTTTTTACTTTTTATCTTGCAAAGTTTATTTTATTTTTTTTTTTTATTTAATTTTTTTTGGTTTTAACAAAGTAATATTTATTTTACGAATTGATTTTTCCTTTTCACTTTTTATTTTGCAAAAGTTTTTTTTTTCTTCCAAATTTTTCCTTTTTGTATTTTTACTTATTTTAATTTTTGTTTAACTTTCTTTTGTTTTACAAAGTAATATTTTTATTTTACGAATTGAATTTTTTCTTTTTCACTTTTTATTTTGCAAAAGTTTTTTTTTTTTTTCCGAAATTTTTCCTTTTCGTATTTTTCCTTTACTTATTAATTTTTTTATTTATTTTTTTTGGTTCTACAAAGTAAATTTTTATTACGATTTTCCTTTTCCTTTTTTATTTGCAAAATTTTTTTTTTTTTTTTTTCCAAATTTATTCCTTTTCGTATTTTTACTTTACTTTATTTAATTTTTGTTTAAACTTTTTTGGTTTAACAAAATATTTATTTTTCCAAATTTATTTTCCTTTCCGCTTTTATTTTAAAAAAAGTTGTTACTTTACTACATTTTTAACTTAATTTTTTTTACAAAGTAATATTTAGTTTCATAATTTTAATTTTTTTTTGAGTTTTTTTATTTACACAAATGTTTTTTGTTACATTTTTATTTTACCCTTAACTTTTTCCCTTGTTTTAATACAATACGATGTTACATTCCATTTCTCCAAAAGTAACTTACCTACATTTCTGTGTCTTTGAAATTTTAAGCTGGATTTACATGCATATAACTTCACTAGATAATATTTTCTGTAACATTAAGCCAATATACACAATTGCTCTTTCTATATAGTTTAACTGGAATACTACATTCTTACTTTTTTTTACTACTAAGTTGGAGATACTCAGAACTTTTCTCTAATGCATTGTACTAACTA